GTGTCTGTGTGTTTCGTCCCCTCCTGAGCAGGGCCGAAAGAGATAGTTGTTCAGCAGACTCCGGCAGGCTTGCTTGCGCGAGGGGGGGGGTCGTGGCGAGGCCCAGAGGGCAATCTGGACCTCACGCACGCCTCGTCGGCCCGGCGCTGTTCGAATAGGCGGTGGAATGGGGAGGGGGGGGGGGAGAATGCCATGCAAGCAAACCTGCCAGAATCTGAACTGAAAAAACGCTCGAACTAGGCGAACACGCGCCGGGTGCAAGCCTTATCATATGGGAGAAAAATGTCCTGAGGGAAACGGGTCCTGGACCCTCGGGGCCTCCCCCCAGGACCGCTTGTTCGTCCTGAATTGATCTTCTCGCCGACTGTTCGTAGAGCGACCATCCCACGCCTTGTTCATGGACTCGTCGAGAAAAACACTTTCGGGGTACATCAATTCTGTAATCGATCCCCTACTCGACCCTTCGGACCCGTTCCCCCCATGGCGAACACGCACTGGGTGCGAGCCCGTGCATTTTGGACGCCCGAAATGGGTACGGAAAACATGGGTACAATACCCAACAACAAATGCCGTCCCAAACCAACAGCGGCCGCTGTTGGGCAGGCGGCTGTTTGTCTTCAGTGCACAACGTTCGTGGCGGCGCGGACAGCGAGTCCAATTCAAAATTAGCAGGGACTGCTGCTCGTCGTTGTACCCAATCTTTCCGTATCTATTTCTCGGGGGCGGCCAAGAAGGGGGCGTCCAAGGGGAGGGGCGGGGGGGGCGAAAATCATGGCCGGCGGCCTGTGATCGGCCCAGCGGTGGGGGGGTGCAGGGACGCAATGGAATAAGAAGAGGCGCCATGAAATACGTGGAAATATCGTGGCCCGCGCCAGAATATCCCGCCCCCCCAGTCAGCACCCCCCCTCTTTATGGGGAAAACAAACCTACCTCGCTTTTGACCACCCTCGCTTCCAAGAGATACCAAACGATGCCAAATTGCAGCCTGTACTGGTCAGGCCGCTCGACGAGGAGGCGCGTGGTATGGCTTGGTTTTGCCTGGAAGCGAAGGCGGGGTAGGCAATTCACGCTCTGACTCTTGGCCGCCCCCGGATGTCAATCGTGCCGAGCAGAGGCCAGACCTCAGGGAAGGCCCGCCCCGCGATCTGTGCGCTGCGGGCGGCCGCGGCCCGCGCGCGGCGCCCCCTCGCCCTCTGAGCTGGGCTGGCTGCGGACCGGGGCGGCGAGGGCCCCGACACCCCCTCGCCGTGGGCAGCACGTACACAGGGGCAGGAGCAGGTGCAGGAGCAGGACAAGGAGGAGGAGGAGGAGAAGAAGGAGGAGGAGGGGGAGGAGGGGCAGGATAAGGAGCAGGATAAGGAGGAGGAGGAGGAGGCGGAGGAGGAGTAGGAGGAGGAGGAGGAGGAGGAGGAGGAGGAGGAGGAGGAGGAGGAGGAGGAGGAGGAAGGGAGGAGGAGGAGGAGGAGGAGGAGGAGGAGGAGGAGGAGGAGGAGGACGTCCAGCAGCGTTTTCCCACTCGTTCCCACTACGTTTGCCGGAGGCCTTCCCGCAGCTCCCCCGAAGCTCTTCCGTGGGCTCCTGCGAAGTTCCTCTCTCGAGCTCTTGCAAGCTCCACCAAACATCCTGCCCAACGTCCTGACAGGCGTCTCCCACGGGCGTTTCACGCGATTTGGACTGCCCCGCTATCTGGGTTTGTCAGGGGTACGTAAGACCTGGGTACAGGGGACTCGGAAATCCCCGACGAGGTGGTCAAACAAAACGACGAGGCCGAGCCTGCATTTCGACGAGGCCCCCCGCTGCAGACGTCCCACGAAACTCCTCCTCGTCAAAATCCGAGGCGCGGTCGCCAAAAAACGATGGCGAACCCGAGTCCTGGCAAACCCGGGTCTTATAGGAAGGCACCAACTATACACCACCACCGATCCTGGCCAGGATCACCCTGGGCCCAGGATCGGTGTATACGCCCTCCTGCCTTGCGCAAGAAGGCATATACACCGATCCTGGGCCCAGGGTGATCCTGGGCCAGGATCGGTGTTGGTGTATAGTTGGTGCCCTCCGATCTTACGCTCCCCCGAGCTTGGGACGCTGCGAGCGACGGCGGGCAACGTTCGGCAGTCGTCGGCCTGCGGGCGCCCGCGACGGGCCCCAGTATACCAGCGGCAGAGGCACTCGGGATGAAGGAGGAGGAAGGGGAGGAGGAAGGGGAGGAGGAGGAGGAGGGGGAGGAGGAGGAGGAGGAGGAGGAGGAGGAGGAGGAGGAGGAGGAGGAGGAGGAGGAGGAGGAGGAAGACGTCCAGCAACGTTTTCCCACTCGTTCCCAATACGTTTGCCGGAGGCCTTCCCGGAGCTGGCCTCCGGGAGGGGGCCCAGGCCCCGTTGCGAAACAATGGCGACGTCGGATATCTGGGGGGCGAGGTTGGAGGGCTCGATGGGCCTGGGGCCGGGGCGGCTGCGGGCAGGAACGTGCGGGGTGATGAGGGTCGAGGTTCGAGGGCTCGAAGGGTCTCCGTGCGCTTCTGGGATCTCCCCTGGCCACCTCCGTCTCCTGATTGTCCGTCGCTCCCCCCTCCCTGCCTCCCTGCTCCGTCGTCACTCGCCTCCCCCCCCTTATCCCTCACCTATGGCGGCGCGCGCACGGGCGTGGCACCAGCTGGCTGCCTACCAGACCACCCCAACCAAACCAGAAGACCCCAAATTTCGGGCTGGGGGGGGGGGGTACGGATCCATATGTGTGTTTTGCACTGTTCCCCGACGCCCCCCCGCTGGGAATGGTGGGTAAATTGGACCAGATCCCCACGGCCGGTTTTCCGTCCTGAATCGTTTTTGAACGGTCCCGAGGCCTGGCGAGGGCCCCCAGAAGCCGAACACGGCCACAAACTGGCCGCTCTGATGTTTGTCGAAGCGTCGGATCTCTGAAGCCTTCGGGTGGGGCTTGGATGGTCTGGTTGGTAGTGGGGAGTGACGAGCGTGGCAGCATTCCAAGAAGGCGGGGGGCCGCTTGGATTGCAAGAGGCCCTCTCGGTGCCGGGCGCTCCCAAGAAGGCTTCTGAGCAGCACCCCCCAAGCACCATGCACGCCGCCTTCTTCGAAAGGCCGTCCCCCCGCTCGCCGCCCCCCCTGCGCGTGCAGCCAGCATCAGTCGCCCCTCCTCTCCTTCTCCACTCTCCCAATTCATCCTCATCCTCCTCCTCCTCCTCCTCCTCCTCCCTCCCCATCCACTCTCCTCCTCCTCCTCGTCCTCCTCCTTCTCCTCCTCCTCCTCCTTCTCCCTCTCCTCCTCTCCTGGATCATCTGGGGGGGCTGGACTCCCTGTCCGATGCCCCTTGAGCACGTGCGGCCTCTCCGCGCGCTTCCGAGCAGGGGGGAGGGACATCGAGTGAGAGCGAGACAGAGAGTGAGGGACATGTATATACCCTGCTTCTGGCGGTTCGATGTAAGCAAGTCTATGCCGGGAGAACGGGAAAGGGATAGAAAAAAAGAGAGAGGGAGGGGGGGAGAAAGAGAGAGAGAGAGAGAGGTGGAGAGATAGAGAGAGAGAGAGAGAGAATCAGCAGCCGATTTTGAAGCAAACCGGTCGCGACCGTCATTGGATTGGGATGCAAATCCGACGATCAGGGAAGAGGGTATCTCCTCCCTCCTCCCTCCTCCCTCCCCGTAGCACTAAAACAGTGAAAACAGCCCCAGACGTGAATCCTTGCAGCTTAAAGCCAACGTTGTCGGGCCCCCCCCCGCAATCTTTACGGGACCCCCACACACCCTGCGACAGAAGACTTCGACACCATCCGCTGAAATTCGACCTCCCCCCCCTGACCGCCCCCTCCCCGCCCCGCCACGCGGAAGCGCCTGCGGCAGGCGCCGCCGCCGCCGCCGTCGTCGCTTTCGTCGTCGTCTTTGTCGTCGTATTCGTCGTCCTCGATTTCGTCGTCGTCGCCGTCGCCGTCGTCGTCGTCGTCGCCGTCGTCGTCGTCGTCGTCCGTCGTCGTCGTCGTCGTCCGTCGTCGTCGTCGTCGTCATCGTCGTCGCCGTCATCGCCGCCGCCGTCGCCGTGGCCGTCGCCGTCGTCGTCACCGTCATCGTCGTCGTCGTCAGCATCGTGTCGCCGACGCCGTCATCGGCGTTGCCGTCGTCGTCGCCGCCGTCGCCGTCGTCGTCGTAGTCGTCGTCATCGTCGACATCGTCGTCGCCGTCGTCGTCGTCGTAGAGTCGTCATTGTCGTAGTCGTCGTCGCCGTCGTTGTCGTCGTTGTCGTCGTCGTCGTCGTCGACAGCGTCGTCGACAGCGTCATCGCGGTCGTCGTCGTCGTCGTCGTCGTCGTTGTCGTCGTCCGTCGTCGTCGTCGTCGTCGTCGTCGTAGTCGACGGCATCGCCATCGTCGCCGTCGCAGTCGTCGTCGTCGTCGTCGTCGTCGTCGTCGTCGTCGTCGTCGTCGTCGTCGTCGTCGTCGTCGTCGTCGTCGTCGTCGTCGTCGTCGTCTCCTCCGTCGTCAGCATCAACGTCGTCGTCGCCGGCAGCGTCGCCATCGTCCGTCGTGCGTCCTCGGTCGTCGTCGTTGTCGTCGTCTCCGTCGCCGTTGCCCTTGTCGTCGCCGCCGTGTCCATCGCCACCGTCGTCGAGAGCGTCGTCGTCGTCGGTTTCGTCGTCTTCTCCGTCGTCGTCGTCAGCATCGTCGTCGTCGTCGCCGGCAGCGTCGTCGTCGTCCGTCGTCCGTCGTCGTCGCCGTCGTCGTCGTCGTCCGCTGTCGCCTACTTCGTCGTCGTCGTCGTTGTCGTCGCCGTCGTCATCGTCGTCGCCGTCGCCGTCGTCGAAAGCGTCGTCGTCGCCGTCGTCGCCGTCGCCGTCGTCGACAGCGTCGTCGTCGCCGTCGCCGCCGTCGCCGTCGCCGACGCCGTCGTCGCCGTCGCCGTCGCCGTCGTCGCCGTCGCCGTCGCCGTCGTCGTCGCGAGAGCGTCGTCGTCGTCGTCGCCTTCGTCGAGAGCGGCGTCGCCGCCGCGCGAAAGCGCCTGCGGCAGGCGGGCCTCGCACGGCGCCGCGCCCAGCGCCTCGGCGGCGAGGGCGGCCACCCGCTCCGCGTGTCCGCCGGGGGCCGCGGCGCCGTCGCCGCCGCGGCCCCGGGAGGCAAAGTACCTGGGAGAGGCTCCCCCTTGGAAGTATGCTGCCCCTCGACCACGAGTCTCAGGTCCTCCTCCTCCTCCTCCTCTTCCTCCTCCTCCTCCTCCTCCTCCTCCTCCTCCTCCTCCTCCTCCTCCTCCTCCTCCCCCCCTCAGCGCCTCTCTGTCATGTTTACATGTGTTGCTCAAGCCCTCGCCGCCGGCCTTCGTTTGGGGAGGCAGCACCCATCGGGAACACATGCCACCAAGAGCCGAAAACCTCTGAGAGAACCCCTGCGGTCATGGCACGGCCAGACGGATAGCCGAGGATCGGCGGCGAGCCCGGGGGGAAGTGAGAAGGGGCGGGCCTTCTCAGGAGGCTTGGACGTCCCCGGGTCTTCTCAGGAGTGTCCCCAGCCTTTCGCAGAAATGCAGCAGACTCCTCATAAGGCGCGAGGATTTCTGAGAAGTCCCGCCGCCTTCTGAGAAGGCCTTCTCTCCGCCTCTTCGAGACCATGGTCATCCTTCCCTTTCCTCCTTGTTCTGTCTTCTGTCACTACTTTACATCCACCTTCACGTTAAGATACGTGCCAACCGGTGGCCTTTCGAGCGGTGCTCCACGGGCCACCAGGTTTTAGTGCGATCCCCCCCCCCAGGGCCGAACGGCCCTGGGGGGGGGGAGGCTACGAAAAACATGATTTCCAGCCCCCCGGGCTCCACCCCTCCCCCATGGGACTTGAAACCCATAATTTTCCCGGTTCGTCCACGCCCCCTCGTGCAACAAACACTCGTTTGCTCGAGCCGCGGTACAACCAAAATGCCTGTTTCGGATTGGCTGGACGCTAGGCTTGCGCGCGTGTGCGCGGCGCTTGGCGGTGGCTCGGTGGTCTGACGGCTGCGTCGCTGAGTTCGGCATCGTGCTGTGCCCTTTCAGGAGAGCCCAGAATCGAATCGACAAGTCGGATCGGAAATCGACATGGATCGGATCGACGGAGGTCGGCAGCCGAGTCGGGAAAAGCCGAATCGGCAGACATCCGCAGGCTAGTAGGCCTCCATTGAGAAATCGGGTCCCAATTCTCGGGAGCGGCCAAGAGGGGGGTGTCCAAGAGGGGGGGTGCAAATCATGACCAGCGGCATGTGCGCGGCCCAGCGGGGGGACCAGGGACGTAATGAAATAAGAAGAGGCGCCATGAAATCTGGGGAAATATCATAGCCCACGCCATGATATCCACGCCCCCTAGTCATCACCCCCTCTTTTCTGCCCCCGAAAATCGGAATCCGAAGCCGAATCGAATCGGAACCGGATGCCACCGGAGCGGAGCTGCATCGCATCGGAGGCACCGAGACGAGCCCTGGAGAGGACCCCACTGCGGTCTCGTGGCGCTGCCGGGCGGACCGCCAGAACGCAGGCTGGCCATCGCTCGGGCGTCCATTCCCTGTGCTTTTTTTTTCGGTTTCGTGCCTGGTGTATTTTTTTCGCCAAATGATCAAGGATGCTCCTCGATGCTCCTCGCCGAAGGAAAAGTGCACACGTCCGAGCGAGGCCAAGCAGGAGCGAGAGAGGTGCTCGCCAAGGCCACGGCGGGCCGAGGCGGAGCCCCCAAAAGAAAACAGGCTCCACGCGACCCGGGCCCGAGGGGCGGCGCCCGGCAGCCCGAGCCCCCCCCCCCTGAGCCCGGAAGTGGTCCTGCTCCCCTCCTGGCCATCGCTCGGACGTCCATCCATGTGCTTTTTTTTGGTTTCGTACGTGGTGTTTTCGCCAAACGATCAAGGATGCTCCTCGATGGCCCTCGCCGAAAGAAAAATGCACACGTCCGAGCGATGCCAAGCCTCACCCGCATCCTTCCGGACCTTCCGCCCTAATGACCTTCCGCCCCTTGTTCAACTTGGTCTGTGTGGGTGTCCTTGGCTGGCGTGGGGTCTCCGTGACTTTCGAGGGAGCCTTCCGCGCCTTCCGCGGAGGTCGGGAGGCACAGAAGGTGGAGGCGGAGGGCTGTCAGCGCCTCGATTCTACGGACAGGAACGTTTGGGCAGTTCGGTGGCCACCAGGCAGAGGGCTCCCCGTGCCATATTGCTGGCTCTTGCGAGCCGACGCTCGTCGACGCTGCATCGACGCTGATCGACGCGAGTTGACGCTAAATCGGCGCTATCTCATCGATTACCGCACGCGAAACCACGCCTGTGTCCTCGGAAGACGGAAGCACGGCGGTATACAAAGCTCGCGCGATCTACCATGGAAAGGACCCGCACGGCCAGACATTTTTCGAGAGCGTGTCGCGGCGGCAGCCCCGGCGGCACGCTGCGCTTCGCGAGTGGACGGCGTGTCGCTCGGCTCCGCTCGACGGGAAGCTCGGACAAGCTCGGGACGAGGACGCTGGGGTACCAAGGATAGGACAGCGTGTCGCGCGGAGGTATTGGTGGGCCAGAGCCGGCGGAGCGACATGCGATCCCAAAGATCCCGACCGCAAACAGTCAACCCGCATCCTAAGGATGCGTGGTAAGGATGCAAGGGCCTCCGAGGCTCATGTTCACGTTGTTCGAACGAGGCTGGCCAGCGAAAGTCGCTGAGGATGGGGTCGAAGGAGCAGATGCAAGGGTACATTTGGGAAGATGGCTCATCCTTGCTGTGCGTGCTGACTGTCCCCGAAAATCGGATTTCTGTTGTGTCCGATCGATGTTGTCCCGATTTCGGCCCCCAGGCCCCGCTGCTTGGCCGCGGGGCCATCAAAAACGGGCCCGTGACGAAAAAGCTGCCCCCAGGGAACGGCTCGGGGCCTCTTGAAGAAGGGGGCAAACAACACAAAAACATGCGCACCCAGTAAGCACACGCGACCAGAAACCTTGCCAGAAGTAATCTAGGGGCAACTCCGTCGTCCATCTTAGTCGCCACGCGGTGCCCCGGCTGTTCGGTGGCCTCCTCGGGCGCCTGGGGGACAGGAGGTTTCCGTATGGGCCACCTGCTGGCAGTCTGACCTCCTATTTGATGCGCCGACTGTAAGCATCACCTTTCGGAGGTCTGCGCGGATCTCTTGGGTCGGCGCTGGATCCCCCCCCCCGGGCGCGGATCGCGCAAGGGGCGGCGCCGGAGGCGCCGCCAGGGGTCCAACGCCGACTCAACAAATGCGTGTGGACCTGCGACAGTTCATGTTTGCGCAATGAGTTTCTGCAGGGCTGGACCTAAACGTTGTTGTTCGTCTTGTTCCACCTGCTTTCCTGTACTTCCCTCCCTAAGCGAAAAGCAAAACACAGCCGAAGTCCAGCAAAACAGCGTTTAGGTCCAGCCCTGCTTTTCTGCATTCGAATACCCGCAGTAGCCCCAGCCGAAGAAGGCCGCCGCGACGTCGCGCCCGCCCTCCTCCTGTTGACATCTGGGCGTCTCGAAAAGAACTCGGGGAGAGGAGGAGGAGGAGGAGGAGGAGGAGGAGGAGGAGGAGGAGGAGGAGGAGGAAGCGGATGAGGGGGAGGTATCAATGTCACGCCCAGCAGACGACCCAATCGGTGTGCAGCCGTTGAAGAAGTATCAGGAAGTTGCACCAAGAACGATCGGATCACACGCGCAGTTTTGAAGGTCGGCGCGCGTGCCATTGATACTCTGTATCTCCGCCGAACAGCACGGCAAGCTCTCCCGCCCCCGCTCCAAACACCGGGGCCCTTTATCCGTAGAACGATGCGGCCTGAGGCACACCGCGAAGTGCAGACAGAGGCCTCCTAGATGGGGTCGGGTCGCACCGCGTCACCGCTACGTTGGCGATACATTTGCCGATGCATCGGCAATGCATCGGCGACATCGGCGATGCATCGGCGATGTCGGCGTGGAGAACATCGGGCTCCGCATCGAGCCGCATCGGCGATGCATCGGCGATGCGGCGCGACCCTCCGACCCCATCTGATCCGACTTTCTCTGGGAGGCCTAGGAGTAGGAGGGGATCGCGGGACCTCCGGCTGAGATCTGTCCACGCCGTGGCTTCTCACGACCCAGGCCCAGACCCCGGGTGCTTTTTTGATTTGCGCGCGGGTGATCGTCTGCCGAACACTCCTGCCCGTGGCGCCGAAACGACGAGCGAGGGGCCCGAGGAAGGGCCGAAAGAAGCGAGGGACGGACCAGGACCCGAACAGAGCCGAGCGAGGGACCGACCCGAGCAAACAGGGACAACGAAAAACCCCGGGTGCAGTGATGTTCTCACCACGTGGACCCCCGAGGGCTCGACCCCTTTCCCCAGGACTGGGTTTCCCTCCAGAATCATCCTTGGACGGCCCTGGGGCCCGGCGAGGGCCCTCAGAGTCCGAACCTAGCAAGAATCATTCCTTCGTGGTTTCCCCGACGCGAGGATATCAAATCTTATGGCCATAACTCGGGCCTCTAGCGGCCGATCCGGACGATCCGAGCACCCCTGGACTGCTCTCGACGAGGCGCAGCTGCTGGAATGCACCAGGAGACGAGAAGACCTCTGGGAACCGACGAAGACGTCCCAAAACCTGGGGGCCCGGTCGGGTCTGGACGTCGGATGCCGCAGCTCAAAAAAAGAAACGGCATGAACATGACTTCGCTGAGGTGCGCGCGGATTTCTTGGATCGGCGCTGGGCCCCCCTCCATGGCGTGCGGAACGCGCCAGGGGCGGCTCCACAGGTGCCGCAAGGGGCGCCCGGCGCCGATCTGGGGGCCTGGTCCGCGCGGAGCTCTGGGAGATTATTATGTTCATGCAGTTCTCTGTTCTTCGATTGGCTGCCCGTAGGAATGACACTAGGCTGGAGTGACCTTTGGTGCGCGGCTTTGGGGGGGGCGCGAGGGGGATAAACCCCAGCGCGCAGGCCGCTGCTATCGTATCGCATTCAGCCGTCTGGGGACCCCGGCGTGCCCACACCAAAGCTCACTCCGGCGAGAGCTCACTCTTACGCTAAAGGCCTTCTAGATGGGGTCGGAGTAGATGGGGTCGGAGGATTGCGCCGCATCGGCGATACGTCGCCGATGCATCGGCGACGTCGGCGATGCATCGGCGACGCCTGCGTGAAGAAAATCGGGCTCCACATATAGCCGCAGCGGCCATGCGGCACGATCCTCCGACCCCATCTGCTCGGAGGCCTACACACGCGCAACCGACTCGTGTGCTCCTCTGGGTCGAGGCCGTGCAGGCAGGCGACGTCCACTCGGTGCGCGCGCAGCTCCGCATCCAGCCGCTGGCGGCGCCGGCGGCCGGCGTCGGAGGCGTCCGCCAGGGGGCCGTCGACGGCGTGCGCGAGGACGCGGAGGAAGCCGCCCGCCTTTGGCGGCGGGAGCCCGGGCACCTCGGGAGAGCTGCGCGCGCTACTGCGCGCGAAGCTGAGCAAGGTCCGACCGTCCTGGCATTCCCGTAGGCCTATCACGGCACGTGTTTGGAAGAACAAAAGATGTCCTGATCACAACCATGGTAACCAGCGTTGACGCCAAACTGGTTGTTTGGAGCCGTATGGGTGGTGCTACATCCGTGAAGCAATCTAGGTGGCACCATCGGTGTGAAACGAAAGATGTTCTGCAATCGATGTGGTGCAAATTATGTAGTGCAGCCTATTCTGTGCAATCTGGAATCGATGATCTGTAACCTATGTGGTGCAATCTGTGTGATGCAATCTATGTGGGGCCACCTGTGTTGTGAAATCGATATGATGCAGCCCATGCAGTGCATCACATGGGGTGCAATGAATTGCTGTCCGCAATGAGTTGTCCACTCCACTGCTCGCGCAATCATCCCACCCACCCGCAACTTGGTCTGCAAAGCCCAAGCGGCGGCGATTGCGGTGAGAGCATGGAGTTGGCTGGTGCATCGCTGCGGCCGCGCTAGCCCGCGCATGCTCGCGCGCGCAATGGCCAGCTAGTTTGTTGCGACCGACTCAGCCGCGGCGGCGCTGACCGCTGGGCACTTCCAAGCGGGCACTTCAAGGCGAATCGGCGACTTGGCGGACAAGGTATCATGGCAAGGTCGACAACGGTAGGCGCGATGATGATGGTAGCGATGCTGGTGACGATGGTGACAACGACGACGGCAAGGCCAGTGACGGCGCCGATGCTGTTCACGCCGACGACGACGACGGCGTCCTCGCGTCGGCGATGAAGGTTCTGGCGTAGCTCGACATGCGAGCGCGGCCGACGCGCGAGAGGGGCCCGCATGGTGTTATCTGACACGGGTCGTGCCCCCCCCTCCCTGCCCGCGCGCAAGGGCGCCCGGATGATTTCGACGTGCAGCGCGCGGGGCCCGTTTGGCAGAACTTCATGGCAGCGTGAAAAACTCATGACCTTCTGCAGGATTCGCGGGAGCCGGAAAGTAAACATGTTTGTAAACTGATGGTGCAGCACCATGTGTTTATACATGTGTTCGGGACAGTGCTGAAATCCATACGACACGTGAGGGTTTTGAAGGATCGCGGCATGCGCGCGCGACGATGCGCGGGTGGGCGCTCAGTCACATTTGTTGCGGGGGATTCTTGCGACAGCACGTGCGCAAGGGCGTTGGGACGATTCTGACACGCGCGCGCGAGAGGCAAATTTGGAAGAATTTTATAAGTTTTTGAAAAACCTGTCCTCTTCTAAAGGATTCGCAAGAGCGCGGGCGCTAACTTGTTTTGAACATTCGTTTTGCCCATGTGGCTGTTGTATGTTTTCGTGACAATCGATATTGAAACCCTTCCGACGATGAAGGTTTTTGTTCAAGGATTTAGGCGTGCGCGCGCGACGACGCGCGCGTGTGCACCTCGTCCCATGTGTTGCAAGGGATTTGTGGAAACTGATGGTTTTTGATACACGAGAGTGGGCGCATAGTATTTATTGCAGAGGATGGCGGGGGGGCGATACCGGCTGGGCTGGGATGGTATGAGTTCAAATTTCGGAAGGACGATGGGGCAGAACCGTACGCAAATTGTACGACGAAAAGGTGGATCGTTCATTCCAGGGGGGGTAGAATCGACTACTCTTTTAGAAATCAGAATGCAGCATCTACTGAGAACCCTATAAGGATGGCCCAAGATCTTCTGGGAACGCTTAGGGATGGTGGGATGGTACAATACCCACTTGGAACTCGATGGGGATGGTATAAAATCTACAACTCTGTGGGAATGTTACAACAGCCAGCGTGGAACACCCTGTGGGGCCACGATCCGTGTGAGGGGTGCGCCGAAATGGACTCGAAGCCTTCGGTTGCACCCCCTGCGGGGTCAGGAACAGTGTGAGGGGTGCGCCGAGATGGATCCGAAGACTGCGGGTGTGCCACCTTTGGGGCCACGAACCGAATGAAGGGTGTGCCGAAATAGGCCCGAAGCCTTCGATTGCGCCCCTTGTGGGGCCTGGAACTGTGTGAAGGGTGTGCCGAAATGGACCCGAAGCCTTCGGTTGCGCCCCTGTGGGGACACAAACTGTGGGGCATGCCGAAATGGACCCGATGCCTTCGGTTGCGAACCGTGTGAGGTGTGTGCTGACATGGACCCGAATTCGCTGGAGCCCCTTTGTGGGCCGCGAAAACCTTTGGTTGCGCCCCCCGTGGGGCCACGAGCAATGTGAGGGGTGTGCCGAAATAGGCCCGAAACCTTCGGTTGTGCCCCCTGTGGGGCCACGAACCGTATGAGGTGTGTGTGTGTGTATGTGTGTGCCGAAATAGATCCCAGACGGCCTGTATGGGATTCGAGACAGACCCCATACGGCCTGTATGGGATCCGCTACAGACCCCATACGGCCGATCTCTATGGGATCCGAAACAGCCATACAACCTGTGTGGGATCCGATACAAATCCAATACGGCCTGAATGGTGCCCGATACAGATCCCATGCGGCCTGTATGGAATACAAAACCAATACGGTCTGCATGGGATCGGATACAGATCCCATTCGGCCTGTTCGGGGTCCGACACAGATCCCCACTGGCCTGTATGGGATCCGACACAGATCACATACGGCCTGCATGGGATCCGACCCATGCGGCCTGTATGGAGCCCGATACAAATCCAACACGGGTCCTATACAAATCCGATGCGGCCTGTACGAGATCCAATACGGCCTGTACAGGATGCTCTACACATCGGATACGGAGTGCCGCAAAACCCTATGGGGCTCGCCGCGAAAGCCGCACAAGACACGCAAGGGGGTGGCGCAACTCGCGCACTCGAGGGCGCAACTCGCGGAGGGGAGGTCGCAACTCAACCACGCTCGCGCTCGACCGTTGCGCGGTGGCGTTGCGCCCACCCCGGGGGCGAAACGCAACCGGGCCCCAGAAACACGGTCTCATCAACAACAACAAGAATAATTTTAAGACTGTTCGCTCTTATCTGCTCGCGGACCACTCAACACGTATGTCCAAACCCATCGATACCCGCCCTCTTCGTCTTCGAGCGTAACCCATTGGGGTTATATACCTTTCTTACCTGCAACTTGTATTTCTTGCAGCCTCTAAGGCAGGGGAAGAGAGGACGTATGGAAGGAAGGGACAATGGGGGAGGGAGGAGGGTGGAGCACGAGAGAGAGAGTAGCAGGACAGAGGCTAGGCGCAGAAAGAACGTGGCAGAACCAGACGGGCAGATCGGGCGGGTAGACCCTAACAAGCGGGTCGGGAAGGCGGGCCCAGGCGGCCAGGTCGAGCAGAGGAAGTTTCGAGCGATAACGCGATTCCCATCTCAGGAAATCCACATCGAGTCCGTGAGTCCTGAGTGTCGAGGGCGCGGCGTCTGAATAAATGGCGAGGGAGTCCCACGCGAGAGTGCAAGTCCTGTATACATTGTGTAGACGTCCCGCTCGAGAGCGCGATCCGGCGGGAGCCGCTGTTGTTGTAAACCAGGGGACGGCGGCCAGTGGCCTAGTTTGGTGACCCCATCGTGCTCCCTTTTAAAAACAAGGTGCGGGCCCCAGAAGAAACACTTTAATTGAAAAACAGCGTGCCCCGGAGGGGTATCAATAATTAGTAGTGAGAGTTCAACAACAACAACAACAACAACAACAACAACAACAACAACAATTACTAGCACGTGGGGACACTCCGTTCTCACCAGTGCCAGGGTTTTCATAGGAGGCGGGCAATACCCCCACTTTGTGGGGGGGCCGGTTCAAGCTCTACCAAATTTCCAAACGACTCTTCGCCACCACCCACACCCAGCTTCCCGCCCTATGACGTTCGGACACTTCACTTCGTGGCATGCGGACGACCGTGGCTACTATTCAGGGCCCCGCGGCCGACGACGACGGCGTGCGCGCGCGAAGAAAAAACGAATGTGTCCCGCATGGTATTATTTGACAGGGATGATGGCCCTGGCAGGTGCGCAACCGTTGTTGCAGAAGTTCGAAAAAGTTGCTCGCAAAAGCCCGTTTGACAGAAATGTTTAAAAAGTGTTGGGTTTCCTACGAATCCGCAAGAGCGCGCGGGATGAAATTTTGACATTTTTTTTTTTGAAAAACCATTGGTTTTTTGATGTTTTTATGTTAAAATCGCTACGAACACTAAGGTTTTGGAAGGATTTCGTCTTGCGCGCGCGAATGTCCACTTTACCTTATTTTTTGCAAGGGATTCTTGAAGTTTGGTTATGTTAGAACAAGAAATGTCCACTTTAGCTTATTTTTTGCAAGGGAAAACGGGGGACAACAAAACAACCGGATCTGGACCACATCGTTTTGCCTGAGACTTCCTCACGAAAATGATGAAAATGAGGCTGCGGCCTAGGCGCGGCGGGGGGGTCGTGCACCAGGGGTCCCAACAATAATTATTCTTTAGAAGAAATAATGTTCAACAACAACAACAACAACAACAACAACAACAACAACAACAACAACAACAACAACAATTACTAGCACGTGGGGACACTCCGTTCTCACCAGTGCCAGGGTTTTCATAGGAGGCGGGCAATACCCCCACTTTGTGGGGGGGCCGGTTCAAGCTCTACCAAATTTCCAAACGACTCTTCGCCACCACCCACACCCAGCTTCCCGCCCTATGACGTTCGGACACTTCACTTCGTGGCATGCGGACGACCGTGGCTACTATTCAGGGCCCCGCGGCCGACGACGACGGCGTGCGCGCGCGAAGAAAAAACGAATGTGTCCCGCATGGTATTATTTGACAGGGATGATGGCCCTGGCAGGTGCGCAACCGTTGTTGCAGAAGTTCGAAAAAGTTGCTCGCAAAAGCCCGTTTGACAGAAATGTTTAAAAAGTGTTGGGTTTCCTACGAATCCGCAAGAGCGCGCGGGATGAATTTTGACATTTTTTTTGAAAAACCATTGGTTTTTTGATGTTTTTATGTTAAAATCGCTACGAAAACTAAGGTTTTGGAAGGATTTCGTCTTGCGCGCGCGAATGTCCACTTTACCTGATTTTTTGCAAGGGATTCTTGAAGTTTGGTTATGTTAGAACAAGAAATGTCCACTTTAGCTTGTTTTTTGCAAGGGAAAGCGGGCCGTAACAAAACAACCGGATCCGGACCAACCCGTTTTGCCTGAGACTTCCTCACGAAAATGATGAAAATGTGGCTGCGGCCTAGGCGCGGCGGGGGGGTCGTGCACCAGGGGCCCCAACAATAATTATTCTTTAGAAGTAATAATGTTCAACAACAACAACACCAACAACAACAACAACAATCAATAACAACAACACCAACACTAAATACAACAACAACACCAACAACAACAACATCAACAACAACAATACTAATTTTGAGACTGTTCGTTCTTACTGGCACGCGTGTTTTGCATTCTGTATACCCCACTTCGTCTTCGTCGCACCCCCTTTCGGGGGGAATGTCTTCCTTGTCGGCCATTGACTGAAGTGCGATGTACTCTCGAGCGAGAGCGCCGTTCATGAGTTCGGGGGCCTCCCTGGCCAGGCCAGGGGCTCTTGGAATCCATATTGAAAGGCATCGAACGGGAACCGTCACCGTGTCTGGGCCTCCACCAGCTTACCAGAATTATAAAAAGAATCTCGAGCGAGAGTGCCACTCTTGAGTTCGGGGGCCTCTCTGGCAAGGGCCTCTGCGAATACATCCTGAGGAAGTATCGACCGAGAGCCCTTGTCGTCGTAGTTGGGCCTCCACCAAATTCACTGAATCACGAGAAAGTCTCGAGCGAGAGCGCCGTCAGTTCGGGGGCCTTCCTGGCCAGGGGCTCTCGGAGCAAATCGTGAGGAAGTATCGAGCAGGAGCCCTTGACGTCGTGCCTGGACCTCCGCCAACTTGATTGAATTGCGAGGAAATCTCGAGCGAGAGCGCCGTTCCTGCATTCGGGGGCCTCTCTGGCCAAGGTGTCTCGGGTAAACTGTGAGGAAATATCGAACGGGAGCCGTTGTCGTCGTAGGCAGGCCTCCAAGAACCACTTTTACACTCAAGCCAACGCTCGAGCAGGAGCTTCGCTGCAATAGAAAATGTAGCCGGAGTCAATACGAGAGCGCGCGGAACCGTTCCCGGAGATCAGCAATAGTTATTCTTTAAACACGAATATACAACGACAGTGACAATAATAGCACGGACAACAACTAGAACAACAACAGCAACACAAACAACAATAACAACAACAATCATTATATGACAGTTCGCTCCTATCTGCTCACGTGCCAATCAATACGTATATCCCAAGCCCTCGGTACCCACCCTCGTCGTCTTCGATCGCACCCCCTTGGGGGCTTATCTTCCTCACCTGCCGAATCACAAGCACATCGCGAGAAAAAGTCAAGGCAAGAGCGTGATTCCTGAGCGCCGAGGGCACATCGTCTGAATGAATTGCGACGACGTCCCGCGCGAGAGCGCAATCTGTATACAAAGTGTGAGGACGTCCCGCGCGAGAGCGCGATTTGGGAATACATCGTGAGGAAGTATCAGGCGGAAGCCGCTGTGAATGTAAACCAGGGGCCACAGGCCCAGTTTGAGCCGAGCTACTGTCCTTGATAAAAGCAGGGTGCGAGCCCCGGGGAGAGCAGTTCAACTGAACAAAATACAATGGTCACCGAAGGGGGATCAACAATGACTATTCGTCTGCAGTGAGAGCTCAACAACAACAATCAACAATAATGCTGATTTTGAAACTGTTCGCTCCTATCTGCTCGCGTGCCAATCAATACGTACATCCCAAACCCTCGGTACCCGACTTCGTCGTCTTCGATCCTACCCCCTGGGGGGTATATCTTCCGTACTTGCCACGTGCATTCAGCCCCTCAGAAAAAGAAGAGAGGACGGGTGGAAGGGGCAGGAAAACGAATGGAGCACGAGAGAACTTAGCAGGAGGCGGGGCAAAGGAGCAGAAAACAAGTGGTAGAACCAGACGGGCAGATCGGGTGCGCAGACCCGTAGCGGGCAGGTCGGGAAGGCGGGCCCAGGCGACCAGGTCGAGCAGGCGGGTTGCTGAAGCGTGGGTCCTGCATGAATCGCGCGGAAGTCTCAAGCGATAGCGCGATTCCCAAGTAGATCGTGAGAAAAGCCCAAGCGAGAGAGTGACTCCTGAGCGCTGAGGGCGCATCGTCTGAATGAATTGCGAGGAAGTCCCACGCGAGAGCGCGATGCGTACATGAATTGTGAGGAGGGTTCGCGCGAGGGCGCGATTTGGGAATACATTGTGAGGAATGGTCAGGCGGGAGCCGCTGTTGTTGTAAACCGGGGGCCAAGGGGCAAGTTTGAGCCGAGTGACTTTCCCGGATAAAAAAACAGGGTGCGAGCCCCGGGGGAAGCACTTCGATTGAAAAACAGTGGTCACTGGATGAAGGGGGATCAACACTAATAATTCTTCAACAATGAGAGTTCAACAACAAAGCCAAGAATAACAACAACAACAACAACAACAACAACAACAACAACAACAACAACAACAACAACAACAACAACAACAACATCCACAACAATCCGCACCGCGGAAATCCACTTCATGTCCCTGCCCTCGGCACCTCCACGAGACAGCGCACCTCCGGCGGGTCCTGCAGGCCCCAGCGGCCCCAGCCGAGCCAGCGCAGCCGCCTCGGCGACATCAGCTCCCCGAGCCTGCCGGCGTCGTCCTTCGGCGAGTGAGGACACCACCCCCCGTCCGGAAGAAGCGAGTAGAAACACAAAAAAACCCAAGCCCCCTCGCGTCGTGGAACAATCACGACGAGAAGGTTTTGGCGGCGTTCGGCCTCTGGGTGCCATCGCCAGGCCCGGGGACCGACAGACAACGACGCAAGATGAACAAAACTTGTTCTGGGATTGAGACCTCTGGCGGTTCACGTTGAGAGAGATTCGTGACGCTGGGGGTATGGGCAGGGATGCGTTGGAAGTAGATTGGGCTTCCGCCCGCCACTTGGAGGGGAAGGACAAGGGAAACACGTGGAGTGATGATATAGGGCAGCGCATCAAGTTCCCCAGACAGTGCTTGCACTTAGGGGCCCTTAGTTCTGGTCCACAGAAATTGGGCTGGTGTGGTGTGTCGATCTGGTGGCTATGTAGTCGCCGTCGCTGCCCCGCCTTCGCCTCGTCGCCGCCCGTAGTCTGGGCTGGTGTGTCGCTCTTGCGGCTATGTAGTCGCCGTCGCCGCCGCGTCGCCGCCTCGTCGCCGCCCGTCGTCTGGGTCGGTGTGCCGCTCTGGCGGCTGTGTAATCGCCGTCGCCGACCCGTCGCCGCCTCTTTGCCGCCCGTCGTCTGGGCGGGTGTCCCGCCCTGGCAGCTATGGAATCGCCGTCGCCGCCCCGTCGCCGCCTTGTCGCCGCCCGCCGTCTGGGCCGGTGTGCAGATGTGGCGGCTACCTAGTCGCCGTCGCCGCCCCGTCACCGCCCCGTCGCCGCCCGTCGTCTGCGCCTTGATGTGCATTGCGGCGCGCTGCTTGCATGGCTTTGCATTGCTGCACATTGCAAATTGCATTGCTTTGCTTTGCATTGCTTTACTTTACTTCGCTTTCATTGCAATGCTTTGCATGGCATTGCTTTGCATTGCTACGCCGTGCCATGCATTGCTTTGCGCTGGTGTCCATTGCTTGCCATTGTATCGCGTTCCTTGGCACCGCTTGGTATTGCTGGACACTGCTTTGCACAAAATCGCACAGAAGGGCGCGAGAGGGAGCATGGGGAAGGGGAGGAGGAGGAGGAGGAGGAGGAAGACGAGGAGGAAGAAGCTCATCCCTACGCTGGGCTATCACGACGGGGCCAGCGGATTTTTCAGGGATCGCCGGTTGACAGAAGTAGGTACGGCCTTTTCACATGCCGGTGCTGATCTAGGACGCCGCATGTGCTTGGGTCGGCCCGCCACGGCGACCCTTTGGAGGGGCAGCGATTCTGTACAGTGTGAAGGCGTCACGGTGGGAGCCGCCCTGCAGCATCCACACACTGCCTGCTTTCCCCCCCCCATCGGTTTGTCACCCTGGGTGCCGCCCCGCTGCCAGCGCACAGATAACAGACACCTGAGGGGGGCGCTCCGTTTCGTGAGCCCCACCGCAGACTTGGGATCTCGACCCCCAATGGGGTTCGAGGAGCGGGGGCGACCCGAAACAATCCAAGAGCCCAAGACCAGGGGGAAGGGCGCGCGGTGACGCTATGTGATGGCGCCCCCCCCACCCCCAGGAAGCGAGATGGCGGCAGGGGCTGCCCCTTCCACTTGGGTGGGCGCAGCCCTGATCCTCCCGATCTCGCATCCTCCTAACGTACGTAATTCCCCAAGCAGACTTTGCACTTATGGGTTCTTACTTCGGGTCCACAGGAACTGGGCTGGTGTGCCGATTTGAAAGGTATGTAGTCGCCGTCGCCGCCCCGCTTTCGCCTCGTCGCCGCCCGTCGTCTGAGCCGCTGTACCGTTCTGGCGGCTGTAGTTGCCGTCGCCGCCCCGTCGCCGCCTCGTCGCCGCCCGTCGTCTGGGTCGGTGTGCAGCTCTAACGGCTATGTAGTCGCCGTCGCCGCTTTGTCGCCGCCTCGTCGCCACCCGTCAGCTGGGCCTTGCTGTGCATTGCGATGCACCACATGGTCTGCACATCGTACATATACATATATATATATGTGTATATATATATATATGGCACAACATAGATTGCACAACAAACTATGCACCACATAGGTTGCACCACATACATAGCACCAGTCGGAATCGTTCTACCACTCTTGCGCGCGTGCCGTCGCGAGAATCCTTCGCAGCAGAAATATCTCGGCGAAGGACACGACCAGATGGAGTTGTTAGGCGCAAGTGTTGGAATCGTTGTCGGTAGAGCTCCATATGGGGCCACGAAACGTGGGAGGGGTGTGCCGAAATGGGGGCGGTGGTGTCATGCGAACGCAACTACTGAAGCCTTCGGTGGAGCTCCCTGTGGGGCCACGAAATGTTTGAAGGATGTGTCGAAATCGGTGCGGTGGTGTCATGCGAGCGCAGCCATTTGGGCTTTCGGTGGAGCTCCCTATGGGGCCACGAAGCGTGTGAGGGGTGTGCCGAAATACGCGCAGCGGTGCAATGCGAGCGCAGCCGCTGGGGCCTTCGGTCGAGCTCCCTATGGGGCCACGAAACGTATGAAAGGGTGTGCCCACATGGGGGCGGTGGTGTCATGCGAGCGCAACCACTGGGGCCCCCGGTGGAGCTTCATATGGAGCCACGAAGCGTGTGAGGGGTGTGCCGGAATCGGTGCGGTCGTGCCATGCGAGCGCAGCCATTTGGGCTTTCGGTGGAGCTCCCTATGCGGCCACGAAGCGCGTGCGGGGTGTGTCGGAGTGGGCGCGGTGGTGCCATGCGAGCGCAGCCGCTGGGGCTTTCGGTGGAGCTCCATATGGGGCCACGAAGCGTGTGAGGGGTGTGCCGACATGGGTGCGGCTGTGTAATGCGAGCCAAGCCACTGGGGCCTTCGGTGGAGCTCGTTATGGGGCCACGAAACGTGTGAGGGGTATGCCGAAATGGGCGCGGTGGTGTCACGCGAGCGCAGCCACTGGGGCATTTGGTGGAGCTCCATATGGAGCCACGAAACGTGTGAAGGGTGTGTCGAAATCGGCGCGGTGGTGTCATGCGAACGCAGCCATTTGGGCTTTCGGTGGAGCTCCCTATGGGGCCACCAAACGTGTGAAGGGTGTGCCTGAGTGTGCGCGGTGCTGCCATGCGAGCGCAGCCAATGAGGCCTTCGGTGGAACTCCCTATGGGGGCACGAAACGTGTGAGGGGCGTGTTGAAATTGGTGCGGTGGTGTCATGCGAGAACAGCCACTTGGTTCTTCGGCGGAGCTCCCTATGAGGCCACGAAGCGTGTGATGGGGTGTGCCGACATGAGTGCGTTGTCGCCATGGGAGTGCAGCCACTGGGGCCTTCGGTGGAGCTCCTTATGGGGCCACGAAGCGTGTGGGGTGTGTGCCGAAATGGGTGGCGATGGTGGTGGCGATGGCGGCGATGATGATGATGACGATGACGATGGCAGTGTCGATGATGATGCTATTTATGGTGATGATGATGATGATAACGCTGATGATGGTAGAAGGGGGGAGGACGGACGGTGAAGTGACGCGGGGCGCTATCTTTTCAAAACGAAGACACACCACCCCAAGCTGGTTGGGGAAAAAACGATGTGCACACGCGCGCGCCGTCGCGCGCGCATGCCGAAATCCGTCAGACCATCCTGGCGAAGGATCCAACCATACGCAATAATAAATAGCGCAGGTGATGGTCCTGTCTTCGGTGGAGCTCCCTATGGGGAACGAAACGTGTGAGGGGTGTACCAACGTGGGCGCGGTGGTGTCATGCGAGCGCAGCCGCCGGGGCCTTCGGTTGTAGTCCCATGTGGGCCACGAAGAGTGCGAGGTGTGTGCCGTAATGTGTGCGGTGCTCTCAGGCGAGCGCAGCCACCGGGCACATCGTTGAGCTCGTTGTGGGGCCACAAAACGAATGAGGGACATGGGTGCGGTTGTCTTATGCGACGAAGCATGTGAAAAGGTGTGCAGAAATGGGGGCGGTGGTGCCATGCGAGCGCAACCACTGGGGCCTTCGGTGGAATTCCCCATGGGGCCACGAAGCCTGTGAAGGGTGTGCTGAAATTGGTGCGGTCGTGCCATGCGAGCGCAGCCACTGGGGCCTTAAGTCGGGCTCCCTATGGGGCCACGAACAGTGTGAGGGGCTTGCGGACATGGGGGCGGTGGTGTCATGCGAGCGCAACCGCTGGGGCCTTCGGTGGAGCTCCCTATGCGGCCACGAAGCATGCGAGGGGTCTGCCGGCATGGGTGCGGTGCTGCCATGCGAGCGCAGCCACTGGGGCCTTCGGCGGAGCTTCAAATTGGCCACGACACGTGAGAAGGGTGTGCCGACATGGGGGCGGTGGTGTCATGCGAGCGCAACCACAGGGGCCTTCGGTGGATATCCAATGGGGCCACGAAACGTGTGAAAAGTGTGGTGAAATTGGTGCGGTGGTGTCATGCGAGCGCAGCCGCTGGGGCCTTCGGTCGGGCTCCCTATGGGGCCACGAAGCGTCAATGGGGTATGCCGACATGGGCGCGGTGCTGTCATGCAAGCGCAGCCGCTGGAGCCTTCGGTACAGCTCCACGAAACGTGGGAGGGGTGTGCCGAAATGGGGGCGGTGGTGTCATGCGAACGCAACTACTGGAGCCTTCGGTGGAGCTCCCTGTGGGGCCACGAAACATGTAAGGGGTGTGCCGAAATGGGCGCGGTGCTGTCATGCGAACGCAGCCACTGGGGCCTCTGGTGGAGCTCCATATGCGGCCACGAAACGCTGTACTGGGTGGGGGGAAGAGCGCAGGGAGGAGGGAGGAGGGGGAGGAAGGGAGGAAGAGGTGAGGTGAGGAGAACGCGTGGCGCCGTCTTTTCAAAACGAGGACCCAACACGACAGGATGGTTGGGAAAAACCTTCGGTTGCGTAGCGGTTTCAAAACCGAACGTCCAAAACACATACAACAAGCACGCGGTTTCGCAACATCTGTTTTCAAAACCGCGTGTGCTCGCGCTCTTGCGAATTCGTAAGAGAACCATACTGTTTCAACACGTTCATGGAATTCTGTCAAACGGGCCACTCGCGCCGCATGCCGACATCATTATCACGCCCTCGCGCGCGTGCTGGAGGGGCACGACCCGTGTTCAATAATACCATGCGGGCCTCTCTCGCACGTCGGCCATTCGCGCATGTCAGACTCTTTCCAAAACCCTCATCTCTGACCCGAAAACACCGTCATCGTCGTCGGCGTGATCAGCATCGGCGTCCGCACTGGCCGCGCCGACGTCGATGTCGACATCGACACCAACATCGTTACTATCATCATCGTGCCTACCGTTGTCGGCGTTGCCTGGATACCACGCCCGCCCAAGCCGCCGACTCGTATTGAAGTGCCCACTGGGATGTGCCCAGCGGTCAGCGCCACCGCGGCCGCGTCGGTCTTGCCAAACTAGTTGGCCGCTGCGCGCGCGTGCTTGGGTTGGCGTGGCAGCAGAGATGGACCAGCCATCGCCAAGCACCCATCGCAATCGCCACCGCATGTGTTTTGCAAACAAAATTGCGGGTGGGCGGGTGGGGTGATTGCGAGAGAAGTGGTGTGGACAACTCACTGCGCACAAACTGGATTATCCTTTCTTAATGTATAAGAAAGAAATCGGTTCTACCACCCTCCCCCCCCCGGACTTACCGTTCCCCTTTTCATATTGTAATTTACGTACGATTCTGCCCCATCGTCCTTCCTAAAATTGAATTTACACTCTCCCAGACGGGGCGGGTATCGCCCCCCCCCGTCATCCTCTGCAACAAATAATATGCGCGCGCACTCGTTAATAAAAAACCATAGGTTTCCAGTTGTCATTTGCAACACAAGTGAGACGAAGTGTACACGCGCGCGTCGTCGCGTGCGCATGCCGAAGTCATTCAAAAACCTTCAGTTTCAGAAAGATTTCGAAATCGAGTTTTCAAAACACATAAAATACATATGGTCTCGCAGCACGGTTTTTCAAACAACAGACAACAACAACAAAAACATGCGCGCGCGCTCTTGCGAAACCTAAAATAAACACAAAGTGGTTGCCCCAGAGTTTCAGAATATACTACCAAACGGGCTTCGCGCGCGCATGCTGGAATCATTCGAACGCCCTTGCGCGCCTGCCGTCGCGAGAACCCTCTGCAACAAATATGACGAAGTGCACGCGCGCGCGTCGTCGCGCGCGCATGCCGAAATCCTTCAAAACATGCAAAAGCACATGGTCTCTTCGCAACACGGATGTTCAACAGAAGCGTGCGCGCGCGCTCTTGCGACGTCGACGTCGTCGTCGTCGCCGTCCTCCCTCTTCCCTCGTCGTCGTCGTCGTCGCCGTCGTAGTCCTCTGTTTCCTCGTCGTCGTCGTCGTCGTCCTCCCTCCTCCCTCGTCGTTGTCGTCGGAGCCGCCGTCGTCGTCCTCCCTCGTCCCTCGTCGTCGTCGTTTCCGTTGGCGTCGTCGTCGTCGTCGTCGTCTTCGTCGTCGTCGTCGTCGGCGTCGTCGTCGTCGTCGGCGTCGGCATCGTCGTCGTCGGCGTCGGCGTTGTCATCGTCGACGTCGTCGTCGTCGTCGTCGGTGTCGTCGTCGTTGTTGCCGTCATCGTCGAAGTCGTCGGAATCGTCGTCGGTGTCGTCGTAGTCGTCGTCGGCGTCGTCGTCGTTGTCGCTGTCGCTGTCGTTGCCAAGTGCCATTTGGTACCTTCCGTCACGATGTTAAGAAGTCTTGCGGCGAAGTTGCGGGTGGGAGGGTGGGATGTTTGCATGAGCAGTGGAGAGGACAGCTTCAAGACATTCCGCCACCTCTATTTCTCATTACATCTGTATGTGCGTACAAGTTGCACCACACATGCTGCACAACCTATAGGTTGCAACATATGCTACATGTAATACTATCGCGCACTAGCGATTACGCAGCATGGGCAACACCACATCCATATTGCACTGCATTTTGCTCCACCTAGTCTGCACTACCCAGATTGCGCCACATTCATTGCTCTACACAAGTTGTACCGCACAGCTTGCTCCACTTACATATTGCCTTGCATGTATTGCTAGAAACACACTGTTTCGGGTCAGCGCTGGCTGACATTACACTGGAATTCGGGATTCCCTCAAATGCAGACTTTCAACAGGCGATGCGTAAGTCACGCTGGTGATGCGTGCAACTGGTAAAAAGGTGCCAGACTTTTAGAGTAAGCGAGAGTGGATACTGTGAGGGCATTGTCTACGGAATCATCCGACACGGAATCCATTGTCTGGACGCCTGTGGAACTCCAGCCGCGGATTGGCCATGGATAGCACAGTGAATCATGAGAAAAGGAATCCTCCAGGAAGCCTCCTGGGAACATTTCTTGACGAAGTCCCCCACCGTAGCACGCACCGATACGTTTATTCTTTTTCATAGCCGCGGCCCCACAAACTTTCGACCCCTTCCCCGCCATATTTGTGAAAGGTCCCGACAACAGGGCCCCAGATGCCGAAATCGAGGAAAAACAACTTTCGTGGAGGGGGCGGGCGGGTGTGACTAGGCTCAAATGGAAAGCTGGACTTCACACAAAACATCGGTACTCATTGGCGCGTCCTTTCGGCCCAGCGCTGATCGAAAAGGCGTCGGCAAGTGGGAGGTGAGTGGGGCGAAATGCAGAGCAAGTGAACTTGCCCAAGCCGACACTACCCCGACCCCCGACGTCGTGTTTGTTCATGACGTGAACCCCCACAGTTCAGTGCACTTTCCTGGGCACTGGCTTTGCGGCCCGAGTCTTTGCTTGACGGCCCCCAGGCCCAGTCAGGGTTAGGTCGGGCATGTCCTCCTACAGGCGGATTTTGCAAGTAGAATAAGAAGCAGTCACAAACAATCCAAATTGGTCAAAAAGAGCACGACAAATCGTCCCCAGGCGATTTTTTTCACTATTCACCAGTACTCCTCCTGTAGTGGGACATGCCCGACTTGAGGCTACCGTGAGGACCGCATGATAGGGGAGCGAACGGGGCGTCTCTGGCCACGCAGGGCCTGTGCCGCAAGCAGGCTCCACGACACGAAGTCCAGGGAACGGCCCGAATACTAAGGAACCGAGCTTTATACAACGATGCTTTTTTCGGGTCCCGCACTGAGATTCGCACAAGAAAACGGATTATGGTGTATACGGCATCCTGATGTATACATTTTTTGCTGTTTCCAGGGGAAAACGGGAACACAAGTATACACCACACCACCCCGACGTCGTCCAAGACCCTCGACAAGTCTTCGGATTGGAAAACGACCCCCCCCACTGGTCATGTGTATGTTCCAGTTTCCGAAATACCCGAGCCACCCCCGAGCCCCAAGCGGTCCTCACCCCAGCGCCTTGACTGCAAGAGGGCCCGCTCGTCCCTCCCCCGAAGTCCTCGGGCAGCTGCTCGAGGAGGGCCGCCACCCGCCCGTCCAGGCAGGCCAGCTCCCTCTCCCCGAGCGCCACGCCGCGCAGGGCCTCGGGCGCCCAGGGCGCGCCCGCCCCGGGGCTGCCGCGCAGCTGGGAGGCGATGATGCCGTGCAGCTGGGCTCGAGGAGCGAGAAGCCGCACGACCAGAGCGTCTCTCAGGGGGCGGACTACCGAATCAGATTTCACGTCCCCGACGGCGGAAATGTTAGACGTTCAGTCTATACCGCTCTTCGCCCGCGAACTCTTGGCGGCTCCACGCGGATTCCTGGGATCAGCGCTGGACCCCCTGGAGGCGCCCTTGGCGCCCCCCCTCTCCGGCGCGCTCCGCGCGCCAGGGATGGAGGCTCCAGCGCAGATCCAGGCAAGCCGCGCGGGCCGCCGACAGCTCATGCTTGTGCCGTTGCTCGCTCTTCGAAGCTGGGCGTTCTGCTGCACGGCGAAGGGCTCGAAGAAGTGGTCCAGCAGGCTGGACAGGAGCACCGGGCGTGGGGCGGAGGATGGAGGAGAGGCGGCTGGAGGAGGTACAGAGGAAGAGATGGGGAGTTGCAACAGAGGAGGATGGGGGGAGGAGGGAGGGAGGAGGGAGGAGGGAGGGAGGGAGGGAACTAGGAGGGGGGGGGAGCACCAGCAGAACGGGAGGAGGAGGGATGGAGGGAAGAGGGGAGGAGAAGGGATGGAGGAGGGAGGCAGCGGCTAATAGTGAGGAAGTTGAGGGCAGAGGCGCGATGATGAGGGAGGCGGTGGAAGAGGAGGAAACGAAGAGGAAGGAGAGGACATCAGAGGAAGAGACGCACAAGGCGGAAGAGCAAACTTCTTCCGCCGTTCCCTGTCGTTCCCCTTGACCACCCATGACCCTGTTTGGTTCAACGCCCTCTTGGGTGGCGGAGCGCCGCCGGGGAGGGAAGAGCTGCCCATGTTCCGGAAACTTACGTCGGGCTTGTCCTCCTACAGGCGGATTTTGGAGAGAGATTTTACCAACGAAAATATATCCCAACAAAAATCCGAAATAGTCGAACAATCATCCCCAGACTATTGTTTGACTATTTTTTGAAAACTGTTCCTGTAGAAGGACGTGCCCGACTGAACAGTAGACTTGCAGTTTCGGAGCTCCGCGCGGATTTCTTGAATCAGCGCTGGGCCACCCTCGCTGGCGCGCAGAGCGCGCCAGGGGAGCCCATCCCAGAAATCCACGCGGAACTCCGACGGTGTATGTGCGTTTTTATGCTGACGTTTCCCTCTCCGAGATCAGCGGTCAAAGAGCAAGCGAGACGAGGTCCCAAACATCCTCCGGTACGATGTGTTCAATCAACGGCCACACATGCACCGTTTTCCCCTGGGCTAACATTTTCGCGCAAAATCTTCTTCTGATGGTCCCGTGGCCCGCAAGCAGGCCGCAGAGGCCAAGATCGACGAGCAACGCCGGGGTTTACGACATCACGTCGTCGGATGTCAAGGGGGGAAGAAGCCCCTGACCTCCCAGGAGGGCTAAGAATAGCCCTCCAGGCCTACAGACCGACCTGGACTGCCTAAAATCTCGACGGGGATTTGGACGTCGAGGTCCTGGTGCTATCTTTTGGCCCTCCTGGGAGGTCAGGGGAGGAGGGGTGTGCCAGAGGGGGCAGAGGAGGGCGGCCTGGCGGCGCGCAAAAGAGGGTAGGGGAAGGGGGAAGGCTTCTTAGGACGCTGCTTCTTAGAAGGCGCTTGCATCGAACCTCGGTAGATCTTAAGAACCCCCCATAGGGGGTAACTAACTACTTGTTCGGCGCCCTCGTTGAAGGACTGGGGTCCCACCAATACTTGGTAACTAGTTATGGGTTGTCCTCCCCCTCCTTAGGAATGGCACGAGGAGGAGCGGGAGGACGACGAGGAGGAGCAGGACGACAGGAGGAGGAAAAGGAGGAGCAGGAGGAGGAGGAGAGGGAGCGGAGGGAGGAGGAGAAACAGGTTCCGTAGCCATTTTGGCTCAAGCCCCGCAGCACGGGCTCGAGTCCATCTTGCCAGCAGTGGCTTTTCAGCTCCCGTCGGTCAAGGCACCGACAGTTCAGCAGCCATGGGTGGCAGTTCGTGGTGGGCATGCCAGCAGTATTACCAGCAGCAGCAGCAGCAGCAGTATTACCGGCATCAAGTTGTGGAGAATGGCAATATCTGAACAAGGCGCGGAAGAAGATGTTTTGCCTCTGTGGGCAGCCGTTCGACCTGCCACCGAGCAAGAGCCAGGACAACAACGGCACCTCAGGCCCCAGCGGAGGCGGCAAGGACAAGGAGCAGCAGGAGAAGCCTTCTGAGATGAAAGAGATCCTCTCACTTCTTCTCGCGAAGCTCACACCCGAGCAGAGGGACGACCTGGGCACCGAGGCCTGCAACAAGATGCAGGGTTTGATCCAGCCGCCGAAGAAACCACCAGCTGCTGCAGCTACCACGGCCTTGCATGAGGTTCGCCGCCTTGAGAAGAAGCAGGAGACCCTCAAGGATACCGTCACCGACCTTGAGGCCAAGGTCACAGCCGCGCAGGAGGAGCTCAACACCACGACCGAGGAGCTCGCGAAGGCCCGCTCCAACTTCGAGGCCGCTAGCGTCGAGGCTACCCGTGGCTGGGGCGGAGGCGCTCCCATGGAGGAAGACATCGAAGAGGAACCTGCCGTTCAGCTTCCTAAAGTGCCAGATGAACTCCTCAAGTTCATCCAGAGCATGGAGGGGGAGGAAGGCGACAACGCCAAGCAGTTCTTTGAGGACCTCGAGAAGGTCCAGGGCCTGCTCCCGAAGACCAAGACCAAGAAGGCCAAGCCCAAGGAAGCAGCCCAACAGCCCGCAGCACCACCTCGTCGTGCTGAAGGCGCCGCGGCTGCAGCTGGAGATGACCCAGCCCGCGGGCGTGACTCGGCAGGGGGCGGCAGGACCCATGATCAGAAGCCCCGCAGCCGCAGCTGCCCGCGCCCTGCAGCAGGGGCCAGGGGGGGGGGGACGGATCCAGGTGAGCGTGGCGGTCGGCCGCGACACACCCGCCCCCCCCCCCCCCAGGGGCACATGACAGTTTCACCATCTACCATGCCAATATCACTAATTGGAACAAGAAAGCCAATGATTATCTTCAAGCCTCGAGTTTTGGACAACCAGGAATCATCATGCTAGGGGAGACGCATCTGGTTTCAGGACGTTTGGGAGAAGCTAGGAAGTTCATGGGGAAGCTTGGCTACAAGTGCTATCAGTGTCCAGCAGCTCACACCCCCGTAGGCAGCTCAGGCGGCGCTGGGCTATTCGTGTCAAAGCAGTTTCACTCGCATGCGCGCATCATGAACGGGAAGGGGCAAGCCAAACCATTCGTGTGAGGGACTAATTGGACAGCCTGTATAGTCCGTCTGAATCGGCGCAATCTAGTTCTTATCTCAGTCTACTTGCAGTCGGGGGTAGGCTGCAACGCTTTCAACAACAAGGTGGTTCGAGAGATCACCATATTCCTCAAGCAGCTCAAGCTCCCCTTCGTCATCGGAGGGGATTTCAACATGACCCCTGAGGAGCTCACCAACGGGAACCCCTGGGTCTCCAGGATCGAGGGCACCATTAAGGCTCCAGAGGTCCACAGTACATGTTCGGGAGGTAGGCTCATCGACTTCTTCATCATCAGCAGTTTCTTTGGAGAATATTTCAGGGTAGAGACCGACCTCACCAGCCCCTGGAAGCCGCACATCGGCTTGCGGGCGACCTTCCAAGCAGAGATCATGATCAGGCAGGGTTGGTTTCAAAAGCGAGCGGCCTCACTCCAATCGCCGTCGGCACCCGCAGCACCATGGCATCATTACTGGGCCCAGGCTCAGATGGACTGGCAAGGTCCGCCAGATGTATCTCACCCTTCTGCCACCGCCCACTCCTCCCCCGACCTGGCCCACCAGTGCGCTCGTCTTAGTCAGGCCTTGGAGGGGTGGTGTCTTGGGAGCCCGCCGAGCTGTCAACAGAGTTTTGGGTTTTGGGCGAGCTGAAGGCTTCCAGTGCGAATGGAAAGACATCTGCCCTCCCACTCCCTTTCA